GATCCATACCATGAAGATAAAAATTATGAGTTTAATATATTCTTGCCAGTGGTAAACAACCTCAATTGTTCAAAGTTCTTCAATGCAACAGGTATTTTGAATTCAGCTTGACAATATTCGTAATTTACACTCAGCTGTCTTGTAACTGTATGGTACCCTCAAAATTGTGCTAAATTAAAAATGTTCTTATATTTGCCTTAAAAACTTGAGAAATTTATTGAGACATTAGTAGTGCTTTATTGCTGGGTTTTTTTCCGGCAATCATAGGTTATTAAGGATTCTATTTCCTTGATCTCACTCGGAATGAAAACCATTTATCCAAGTAATGGTTTATGCATGCCTTTGCCTCATTAAGTTTTTTTAAATCAACAACTGATTAATGTCTCTCAGGGGTTTTACTAGTACATGTACTTATACTTACAACACTCATTAATAATTCATAAAGAAAATACAATAGAAATGAATGTCTGTAAATCGGATACAGATTTTGTCCTGATTTACATAAACGTTTCCTTCAATTTACTCACCTTAAATGATTTGTATAGCCAAGATGTTCAATAAACATGAACATTTAGATGCATTTGTGTCATAAGCTCAATACAATATTCGCGCAGAACTGTATGTGATTTACAATGACTTGCTCGCCATTGTACATGTAAATGCCATACAGATCTGCCGTGCATATTGTATCTATCACTTCTTACAAGCTTTGTAACCCTTTGGATCCCGAGCTACATGTATTCAGTGGCCAATCAATACTGATCAATAGCTTTCATTTGAATGCTCTTACACTTGGGTTTCATGCACAGACTTTTAAAGGGGCAGTGTCACAGGGATTTGATGTCATTTCAAAAACCAAAAAACGTTTTTGTATTTACAGAAAACTAAAAATAATGGTCAAATTTTGTTATAAATTACCATCCTAGTGTACTAAAACTGTCAGTAAGTGTCTCTGGCCATAGAAACTGGGTCGGAATGGATCGCAATTTGAAAACATGTTAGGCTAACAGTTTTTCAATTTCTTGCATTTTCGTTTCCAAAATGCATTAGAACAGACCATAATTTGTTCCTCTTTCAAGAATTTGGTTGATTTCATTTTCTTGGTGTTCTAGAATTATTTTGTAAATAAAAAGGTACCGAAGCACAGTTTTGACCAAAAAAGGTCAAAATCCCCGTGACACTGCTCCTTTAAGTTCTAACATTTGAAAATGTTAAAACCACCTTGCACAGTATACTAAACAGTACTACATCGGTAGCTTTCATTTGATTGGTCACACACTAGGGTTTCACTTACAGACTTAAAAGATAGAACCAGCTGACCTGTACAAGGGGGGCATTGGTATTAGAAACCGGAAAACCGCTCAAAATTTACGTCAAAACCGAAAAACCGCAATAAAAATCGCTCAAAACCGAAAAACCGTGGAACATAATGATCAAAACCGCAAATTCACAAACCTCAACCCCCGACCCTTGATACAACAGCGAAATATAGGTATTATATATGGCGCATATACTTTAGTTATAAATAAAGACATTTAGGGTTTTTTTATTCGAATCATTGGCCATTTTCACACTAGAGACGGGAAACTCAGATGAGTAGCAGTCAATTATTAAACCTCACCGCCTTTCCATATCATGACCTGGCACCAAACAGAAAATCGGTTGCTCTCCCCACTTCATCTTGTTCTTGTTGGTACAGGTCATTTGAAGTTGTATCGTCGGTTACTACATTGAGCCCCACCTCTTCATCGCTGCTTTCATTGAATTCGTTGTCTTCATAATTCAATAGATTCACTGGCATCTTCTCTTTTGTTAGGTTCGTTCGCATCTTCATTTTCATCTAATGTGAAGTTCAAGGCAGGGACGTAGCGTGCGATTTTGATGCTGTCGCACCAAGAAACTATTTAGAGCGCCAAAGGCGTACCCATGTAGGGGGGTTTGGAGGTATGCCCCCCAGAAAATTGTGAAATTTAGGGTCTCGGAAATGCCATTTCCTGTGTTTTCCGTGGGACATTTTCAATAAATACTTGTTACTTCAATGCATCACATTATTTAGTAAAACAAAACTAAAAACAGATATCATCCCAATCAAAATATGAAACGAAACAGTATATTGAATGATTATTTTATTAAATTGATGGAGGTGCACCATGTGAACCTACACGGATTGACCGAGGTGAAATAAAGAGGCCAAGGAACTAGGCAAATGAATAACCAAAACCGAGAAACCGCTTTTCTTATTCATAAAAACCGAAAACCGAAATGTTAAAAAAGGTAAAAAACCGAAAACCACAACGGATACCAAAACCGGAAATTTTGAGTGCAGAAACCGAAAAACCAATCTCAAAAATAATCAAAACCGTAAAACCGAAAACCCCAATGTCCCCCTCCTGTACAGCATAATAAACAATAATGAAAGTACTGCTCTTGAAACAGCTTTCATTTGAATGGTCACACATACTTTAGGGTTTCACCCACTGGCCACAGACTTAAAAGTTAGAACCACCCTGTACAGCATAATAATTAAACAGTACTACATGGAAGTACTGTTCAATAACTTTTGATTTAATGGTCACATGCTAAATTGCCATCCACAGACTTAGTAGTTATACATGTAACCACATTGATTAACTTGAGGTTTGACTTTGGGAATGAAAGGGTTTTAAAGGAAACCTCTACTGTTGGAACAAATTGCTGTTAAATTGTTGGAAATATTGTCTAAACTGAAAATTTGTTGAAATAAATTGGAAAAACGTTCAATTATACGGGATAATTGGATACACATATCAGCCATTTTGGGGGTTGAATTTCCCGCGCGCCGCCATTTTGTATTATATGACGTATTGTGGTTGCCGCTATTGTCAGTAAACAATAGCTCTTTTGTTGTATAACAAAAGGGGCAACCATGAAACGTCATAAAAATCCAAGATGGTGGCGCGCGGGTAATTTGAAACCTAAAATGGCAGAGATTTGTAGCCAGTTTTTTTCGTTAACACTGAAATAATATTGCGCGGTTTTCAACAAATTTTAGGTTCAGATTATTTTTCTATCACTTTAACGGCAACTTGTTTCAACAGTCGGGGATTCCTTTAATACTTAATAATAATCAACTTGTCTATTTTATAATTTGTTTGCAGTAAGTAAAAAATTCAAAGAGAACTTCTTGCGGATCAAGAACTTAGTCCTGATTGGAGGACCTGACGATGGCGTCATTACACCATGGCAGTCCAGGTAAATAACCAGACATAATACAGTAAACACCTGCGTATAAGAAACCTACATTTTTACAACTCAGCCTGAATAGGTTCTTATATATTGGGTGTTTAGTGGGAAATCAGGGCCCAGTTGTTCAAAGGGTGGATAACGCTATCCACTGGATAAATCGCTATCCAGTGGATAAGTGTCAACAAAACATACTATGCTATCCACTGGATAACGATTTATCCGGTGGATAGTGTTATCCACCCTTTGAACAACTGGGCCCAGGCTGTTTAGGTTCTTAATTTTAGGTTCAGAATAGTATGTTAATAGTATGTTAAGCCCATTATTTACAGTAAGTGTATTGTACTTGATGAACTCAATAGATCAGATAAGTATTGTAGTTGTAGTTGTAGTAAAGTACATTTTACTCATACAATGCCTGCTTTTTTAATTAACTAATAGGGCTGGTCTTACAAATAAGAACCTATTTCAAATTTCAGGCTGAATGGGTTCTTATATAATGGGGGTCTAATTTCCAAATTTCAGCCTGTAGGTTTCTTAATCCACTAGGTTCTTATACGCAGGTGTTTACTGTACTGTAATAACAGACAATCATGCTTACTAGTACTTTTTCCAGTAGTATTGGGGCACCAATGACCTTCACTATATACATGTACAGTACATTTCAGCATGTAGGTTCTTAATCCACTAGGTTCTTTATGCGGGTGTTTACTGTACTGTAATAACAGACAATCATGCTTACTGGTACTTTTTCCAGTAGTAATTGGGGCATGAATGACCTTCACTATATACATGTACAGTACATGTTTTTTACAACTACAAGCTGATTTTGAGTCTTGAGAACTTTCATGATATACTGTAGTTTAATTACCTACATGTATGTTTTGTTCCATTTTTTTCAGCCATTTTGGATCTTACAACACAAATCTAACAGTTGTGGACATGAAATATCAACAGGTCAGCAGCATGCATGGTCAATGAGGGCGGAAAGGGTGTCATATATTATATAAATGGAACATGAAAACGATAAATAAAATAATAAGTGAAAAAGTTACTGAATCATATTCATCCTTCACCTTTTATGTCAAATATTATGTCCACAAGGCCTATCACTGTGGTTGTAATGTGTCTCAAAAATGTTTGTGCTAGACTTTGTTCATTCGTACACACATTTAAAAAATATCTCAGCAATACTTTTTAACTTTTCGATGTGTTTTATTTGTTTTGTGTTGCCATGACAGTCACTGCTTTCGACAGTCACATTGGATGTTGTTTGACTGAGTTTCGAAAGTCGAGTAGCTAGGCTTGTGGACAAAATCTAATTTTGTAATTTCAAATTAATGCTGAAATATCCCAACAAAATTAGGGAATAATATTTATAACCATTCATTATATTACTTATAATAACTGGACTAATCACCTTTTAGGTTTATCTTGGAGACACCTTTGGCTTGCGCACTCTGGATGAGAGAGGGTCAATACACCAATATACCTTTTCTGGTGTAAACCACACAAGCTGGCATGGCACAAAGAAAGTGTTTGAGGAAGCTATAGAGCCTTGGTTGACTTGAAAAGAAATACCAAACTGAATTGAGGTCGGAGGAGGAGGAGGAGGGGGAGGAGGAATTGAATTTAAGACAATTTTCAAAATTACTTTTCAGTATGGAAAATTAAGAAATGATGATATATTTTAAGCTTGGTAGAAATATGAGAAAGATGTTAATCAGTTCAGTAGGTGACACACGCTACACAATGTACTTGGGGAAAACAATTCAGAGTTCTCCCAACAGGAGTCGAACCTATGACCTTCTGAACACCGGTCGGACGCTCTAACCATGCACTGAGCTACATGCACAGGAGACTTGTGGGAGCTAGGCCATATTTGAACCTAGTTCGATGGCTTAGCTCCCACAAGCCTCTTGTAGCTCAGTGGTAGAGCGTCTGACCAGTGTGCAGAAGGTTGGAGGTTCGACCCTGTTGGGAGAACTTGGAAATTTCTTTCCACTTAGCTAATTAGCTTAGCCACTGACTAATTAACATCCTTCTCATACTTTTCAGTACTTTACTCCTAATAATCAATTGCAACAGTCAATATGGGTATTTTCCATACATGTTAGTTACAATAATTATTTTTATACAAAGGTATGGTTTAGAATCCAGTGGCAATGTCATAAATGTTTTTCATGCTGTAAAAATCACTTTCAATTTCACATTAACAAGGGCACCCAACAGATCGTTTCGGTGGAATATCTGTTCGGAAGGCCTATAATCGCCTCAGATATTCATATTAAAGTGTGACGAAAATCTGGAGTTTTCTTTAGGGAAATGTCATCTCAAACCTTCGTAATATGGGAAAATTAATACCTTTTGTTTTCGGAGAGATAAAAATGTCGTTTTGGGTACAAAAAAGGTCAGCTAGGATTTTCGCAAAGGCAAAAGCAGCTCATAATTTCGGGAAATAAGATTTCAATCCCTAAAAATTTCTGATGTTTGAAAGTTCAGCTAACGTATATCCGAACAGATACGTTTTTCTTAGCGTTTAAAAATAAGCCATTAGATTGCACAAACAGCACAATGATAATGCAAAAACGACGTTCCGACACCTACAGGAAATGTTTGTCGTTGGGTGCCCCTGCATTAATTAATATAATAATATTGTAGATGCTAAAAATTAAGTACATTTACACAAGTATAATAACAAATTGTTATTAGTGTATGATGCATGCTTACAAGATTAGTATTAGTTACTCGTTCAAAAGAGTTTTTTAAAACTCCTTAAGTTTATATACAAGTTTCTTAAAAAGAATAATAATAATAATAATAATAATAATAATAAAATAATACGTTTAGAAGTTTATAAAGTTAATGTAAAACATGAATAGATTAAATTATTGGTCAGGAGTGGTTGTCAGTCTTACTGGCAGATTATCTCATTATTGTCCATTCTATTGCTACATCATTTTAGCAAAGCCATAAATTATAGGAACAATGCAACACATGCTAACCATATTGCATTAGCATAGCCCAGTGACTTTCGGACTATTGACAAACGTGCAATCTGATTGAATATGCAGGTCGTATCTATCAATCTACATCAGAAGCTTATTATCTTGCGATCTCTGACATCCTATAAAATGACTAAACCATGAGGCAAAGGAACTGCTGACGATCTGAAAAGATGTGGCAAAACACAAACTTAGAATGGAACGGAACGGAAGACAATGACAATCATAAACCATCAGTTCCGTTATTTTAGAGGGTATAAAAGCATAGAGGGAAAAACCAACCTCGTCCCAGAGTCTTCTCCGCTTTCAAGATGGCGGGTGGGCGCGAAGAAGACCCTGGCGAAGAGCAGGTCACGTACCACAAAATTAGCCAATCGCGAGCCCGCCGCCATTTTGAAACATCAAAATCTCCAATATTTTTTGGAGACACGTGACCTCTTCGCCAGGGTTTTCTTCGCGCCCACCCGCCATCTTGAAAGTGGAGAAGACTCTGGGGACGAGGTTGAGGGAAAACGTGAAACGATAGCAACCGTTACGTACACTACGATAAACGACAGCGACATTTACAGCCGTTGGTTAGACGACATCGGTCCTCAGAAGCATGCAACATTGTGACGCCCCTTGGAAGGCCTCAACTATCAGCTAGTAGACTATAGCCCATACAAACAAATGTAGGCCGAGACAGAACCACGCTATTGTCTTTATTGGTCACCTCTAATGTATCCGAACGGCGACCTAAGAACTGATCAAAGGCCCTTCAGGCCACCATGTTGGGTAACGATTTTCGCACTTTGCAGATATAAATTTTGCTTTTAATTACTATCAAGTTATTTCCCCCCCCCCCCCCCCCCCCCCCCCTCCCTCCAAAATAGAAATTAAGAATAAAAAAATGTAACCATTTTGAGTTCATATGCATTTTTTCTGAAAAAAATCATTGAAGGGACACTCCTGATTTTGGGAAGCTCAGAAACATATCTAGATCATAGGAAGTTGATCAATAATGGTTTGATTCTGTAGAATAACACTCGACAAATGACAGGAACCCATTAGGAAGTGAGGATGGAAATGGATTGCAATATGGATTTTTGAAAAAAACGTCAGGATGTCAGTTTTTCAAAGTTTCAAATTTGGCTCCGAAATCTTTGAAATTTTGCAAACATTTTGTTGCAGTATGGAATTTCTTGAAGAAATTGCTTTTTATCATTTATTAAGTTCTTATTTCATAGATTTATGGACCATTTCATGCATTTATAACAGTTTTGAGCAAATACGCCGGGACAGTGTCCCTTTATTATAACCGCAAATTCTGGATTCTGTACAGACATGTTTGACTCTTGGAAAAAATAGCTTTCTCTTTTCTCAGAAAAAATAGTACGAGATTGAGAAGGCTCCAGACACAGTAGCCTGTTCCAGGCGTTCGGATAGTGGGAGAGAAACGCGAAAAGACGCGCGAAGCGCGAAGAAACGGCGAGGGGGGTTGGGGAGAGGGCGCGTCTTTTCGCGTCGCTCCCTCCGAACGCCTGAACAAGCTACAGACACTAGTAAAATTCAGTCAAATTACTCCCTTTTTCAACATATTTGCATGTTTCGAGTTGTAACATTTGGTTTTGGAAAATTCAGCAATAATAATGTGTCTTTTTCCATCACCTCAGTGATTTGTAAGAAATAAGGTCAATGGATAGAGCTTCTGATTAGGGATCCGAATGTGGGCGCTAAACGCATGCGTCTTTTTCACAAGGAGTTTGTTGTACCACAAGGAAACCCGCGGCTCAAGGGAAAGAAATATATATCTTGAGCCGTTGAGATAACACATGAAGGGTTGTTTAAAGGCAAAATCTCGTAATTCAATTTTCCATACGTTTCTTTAAAATTTCAAGCTGTTGTCCAAAGTCCATAAATCCCCGTATCATCCCAATATGTTGTGTAACGCAATATTGCGTTACCCAACATAAAAATGACATGAAATTCTTTACACAATGCAACACTTGGAGGCAAATACGTACAAAATACGCAGAATTAAATACAGTTTCAACCTCTCAAATACCGACACCGTATTACGTCACTTTAACGGCTCCACTGACGATAAAAAATGTGGATGATAAATGACGATAACAAGTCGATAAACTGATTGTATGGACAATGGGACAATTGATTAACTTTTGATCTGTAACCACAAACAGGAATTTGTATTGAATACGAACTGTTTGTCACTGGAGTGTCCGTAATAAGGAGGTTAAGTTTATATGAATTTTCTCTCTGGGGCGGAGATTTAGTGTCCGAGGGAGTAAGTAGAGGGAGGGAATAGGATAAATTATGGTATGTAAAGTGAAACTAGAAGCTAATAAATTTAATATTATTGCTGTCCACCGCAAAGGCTGAAAATAAATCCAGTTCTTTTCAAAGCAGGACCACCTTTTGCATTCCGTGGCCCGCCACCTTGTATGTAAGTCTGGTTCTGCCACTGCAAAAGCCTTAAGGTGATTCCTTAGTATTGCACCGCGTACCCTTTGACATAATTTCGCGCGTAATTAGCGCAGGCACATTAAAAAATAGCGGCTTTTTCATTGTGGCTATGCTCGCCATAGCCATAAATAATCGTATAATATTATTTTTATTTATTATTTTATTTTATTTTATTATGTTTTCTCGTAAATGAGCATGGTGACCTATCATTTTTTCCCCCACATATTTTAAGTCCAGTAATCATCTTCTTTCTATACAAGGAGTATGGACTAATTCCTAGTGGCAGAAAAATTAATAATCACTGGAAACGTGAAGAAATACGTGTGTTTGGTTGATTTTGTAAGGAATTATGAGGTATTTTTAGTCGATTATATCTCTCTCGCGGTTATGTTTAACCTATTCCTTTTATTCTATATTTTGAAACATTACATCGCAATGTTCAACGAGGGAAAGTTTCTAAAACTTTCTAGTGCAACTTTTATTTCGATGGAATTACCTTAAATAAAGTTTTACAATTTACTACACATATTCCTGAAGATATTTTTACTTTTACTAAGAATGCTCATGCATCAAGATTACTCCATGCAATAATAATAATAATTTACAATAATGTATTTACAGTAAGGTTCAAAATAATGTACAAAAACTGCTTGGAGAACATTATAATGTATACAATATACATGTACAAAACAACATGTACATGTATCTACAATGTAAACAAAAAAATAATTACTATAAACAAAAATTCCACTAACAACAAGTTTAGAGATAGAAGACACTGAATCAAATAAATGCTTAAATTACATAATTATACAATTGAAAAAAAAATACGGCAAATTAATATATTCTGTACAAAATGTCTCAACTTTCCTCCACAACATCTTTTAATGGGTCCAGTATTAAGAAGTCTGCCTGTCCTTTGTTAAAACCTCTTGTTGTGTCTATAAAATTTTGAAATGCAGTTAGTGTGTTCTTTAACTTTTCTTCCACTTTCCCTTTCATTTCTTTTATCCTTTCAGTTTCCTCTTCAGCAGCCACTTTCTGCTGGATCTGTTCCTCGATACGACTCTCCAACTCTTTCACTTCTTTTTCATGGATCTCCTTTTGCTGCAGAAGTTTTTTCTCCTCTTCCTTTTTACATTTTCCCTCCATCTCCATGACTGCCTGTTTCTCTTCTTGTTTTAATCTTTCTTTAAGATTCTTCAAAGCTTGCTAAATTTGAAATCCAATGTCAGCTATTAGTTTCTCATGAGCAACTTTAAGGGGGTGACTACCAGGAGTCAATGGCCGTTTTTATACTAGACGACGCATAATCCGTCCAGACAGATAAATGCGTCTGTCATGTTATACTGTACGTCTGGTTATGCGTCTCTAATTTAAAGATGGGCACAAGATGCATTATGCGTCTAGATGAACTACAATTTGTATTTTTTGTTGTGCGTCGTTCAAGACGCATTGCAGAAGATAGCTTGTCTAGACCAGGGGCGTATCTGCCTTTACGCGAAGTACGCAAGTGCG